CGAATGTCATTGGAGACGTTCGCGTGACGCATCTTCTCCAGCTCACGACGAGTGAGAATCGCCGAGGTGCGCTTGTTGTTGATGCGAATGCCGCCGGTGGTGAACTCCAGGTTCTGCGCCTGCATCAGCGGCGAGTCCGGTCCAAGACCCTCAACTGAGGTTGAATCGTTTTTGCTAGCGCCGTTTCCCATTAGACAGGCTTGAGGTGAATAATAAGCGGGAACTGCTCGATTACATTACACAAAAGTGATTGGATGAACAGGTTTGTCAGAGAATAACGCAGTAAAGCAGACATTCGATTTTGAGATACAACAATTATATTTGTCAAGAAACTATATAAGTATTTTTCAAAGGGAAAATAGTTTTGCGAAACTTTATCAAAACATTAACCTTCAAACTGTCAGTTTATTGATAGCGCTTTCTGTTAGAATAATCATTAGAAGCAAATCAGGCCGGCGGTTGGGAGGCGGGAAAACATCTGTAATTTGTAGGTATTGGTTAATTAATCTGTTTAAGAAGTTGAATATATTACCGTGTTGAAGGAGCATTGCGAATTGTCCTGTAGGATTCTCTTTCTTGGACAGGGGATACAAGTACGCCGTTTGTTTTCGTCTTTTATCTTCAGCTGACCTTTCATAGGAAAAAACGCCAGCACGCTGCTTTGTAGCCAAGTAATTGAACATGCTTGTGTAGCATTGCTTGGCAACAGAGAAAGTGATTTGCGACTCAGAGTTTGGCTTCAGATAGGCCAAGGTCAGTTCATGAGGGGGACATTGAAGAATCTTGGTGTCCACTTTTGATCGCTCAATGAGGCTGGCGATGTGAAAGCCAACATCTGCCCATTCCGGGTTCTGAAACAAGGAAATGAAAAGATGTTAATGCAAATTCAACTAAAGAAGCTGACATACCTCAAAAACGTCCCCAGGCTCATCTTGATAGAGCGTCTTCAAGTGCACAATGGAAACTACACTATCTTGGCCAAAGTTAGACAAGTTTCTACAGTTGTGTGTCAGCCATCCATCACAAATAACTTCACACTTGAGATCTTCTCCATTACGGTAGAAATTATAGGTACTAGAGCAGATGTTCAAAGTGGGTTCATCTTGTATCTGAGAGCTGTTTCTTTGAGTGTTGCGATTGTTGGCAAACGAGTTATTGTTTTGAGAAAAGTTTGGAGTGTTTCGGTGAGCTTCGCCATAAAAATGGCTGGTATTTGAGTAGTTGTAACACTGCGGCGGCACTGCCGGCACAGGCCCGCTTCCTTGATTGCTGGCAATAAAGTGGTTTCCCTGGTAGAAATTTGACTGGTGAACCCCGTAAAGTCCATGATATGGAGCCAACGGTGGCTGCTGAGAACTAAACGTCAACCCATTGGCGTGTGCTCCGTTTTCAGGCCAACTGACAGGGAGGTTAAGGTTTCTATTCAACGGATGAAAAGCTTGATGACCTTGTAGTTGGGAGTTGCTGTTATTATAAAAATTGTTGACATTATTCGCCGAGTAATTTGGCTGATTTTGTCCTTGAAAAGAATGCGGATCGTCTTCTTCCCATATGTAGGCTCTTCCGGGCTTTTTAGCACTTGTGTAGCGACCTATTAAAAACAAAATTAATGTTTAAAAAATTGTCTGATTAAAATTGAAAGTAAACAAACTTTGTGCATTTCCATTATCATCGGAAAATTGATTATATGTGTGGGCTGGTTCTTGCTGATACGTGACATCCATTCTCTGCTCATCTTGAATGTTACTGGACGTGCTTTCGCGTTTTTCAGGACATTTTTTAATGAAAAATTCCATACCACAACTTGCCTGTTGTTTAGTGTGCTGCATCGACACAGATTTCCCTTTTTGATTGCGATTGGATACGGAAGGCGGAGAGCCATTGGATGAAATAACAATGGGCTTTTTAGCAGTGTTTTTCATCAGCTGTTGTTTCCACTCTCTTCCAGGTCGGGCACAATCCGGATGTTCCAACTTTGCTTGATAATGACGGCGATCTTTAGGTTTCTTCAAGGGGATATTTGATAAATTTTCCAATCCTTCCATAAAATCATCAAGCGGTTGGTTTGTTCGATTACTTTTTGGCGTTGTAGAAATTTGAAGTCTTTTTCCAGAATCATGAGCTCGAGTTTGGTTCCTTTGCATTTCTTGCACTTCTTCATCATCATTATTCTCTTCATCATCAGAACTTATAGAATTAGACAATTCAATCATAGTTGTCAACACTTTTGGTTTTTCTTTTGGTTTTTCTCTTGTGCATGGCTTGAGATTCTTTGAAGTTGAATTGCCAAGAACATCTTTAGTTTTAATCAAGTTTGTCACCTAAAAAACGTTGTTAGATAAAGCTAAACAAATACAAATTACTGATTAAAAGTTACCTGTGATTTTTTTTCAAGTGTGTTAGAAGTAGAACACGAAAAGTTCTCTGGGTCTACGAAAACCACAAAATCGTTATCTACTTCGTCATCAGACTGTTTAGGTTTCTCATTTTTCGCCCCACTACTGCTTTCACTTTTATGTTTTTCTTGCATTTTTTCATCCTCATTATCCTCTTCTTCATCAGAACTTTTATCAGTAGATACTTCCATCATAGTTGTCAAATCATTTTCATTTGTTCCATTATTGTCTTTGCTCCTTGGTGACGAGTTACTCCGAACATTCTAAAACGACAATGAGTAAATTTGTTTTATAAATAGAATCATACAAAAAGTACCTCAGAAACTTCATTTTCAGCATTTACAATGCGAGGAGTTTTTAGGAAAATAAACTCAGATTTTGAAGATACATTTTTTGGGTGGAAAATGTAATGCTCCGGTGGCAGCTCAGGTACTGGGTTTTCGTTTGTCTGGACAAAAACTACCGAACCTTCTGCTGAAACTTCGATTGCCCATGAAGATGGCTAAAAACAAAATAAAAAATTAATAGATGATAAAAACATGATTACAATTAGTAAAACACAACCTGAACAGGCGGATGCAGAAGAAAGCTGTTCATTGTACTATCGTTGAATACAGTGTCATAAATAAAAAACTAAGATGAAGCAGATTATGGAATTGAAAAAGATGTTATCGCGGTAAGAAAAGAAACGCAACGTTATTTATCTTAAAAGAAAGAAGAGAGATGAAAAGATGACAGAGAAATAAGTAAGCATTTGCAAAACATCAAAAAAGAAATTCAAATAAACAAATGGGCGGAGCTAATGTAGGCCATTCATAAAAGTCGCTCCAGCGGCAAAATTAAAAATGGACATTTATAAAAACATTTTATTTTTTGTTTCACAGGAAAATTGTTGTAATGACAATTTGAAAAAGTATATACGTAATACAAGTCTTTGTAAGATTAAAAGTATAGCATGTGACCGAAGGGAACAGAATAAAAAGTAAAACTAGCCAAATCATTCAGTTCTTCCGACATTGTTCTGAAGTTTATCAACTAAATCTTGGTTCAGTTTATACATGTGCGTGTACAAGGACAGTTTAGTAGCAATGTGCTTTCGGAAACGCTCCTTCATGCTTTGCCACGGTCTTGGAAAATTCACTTTAGATTTTTGCATGTCTTTCCACAGTAAATTTCCTTTGGTTTCACTAAAGCGGCCTGAATTGAAAATGAACTTTAAAATATTATGATCTTCATCATAGTCATATTTTTTCGCTTTGCCGGTAAGCACTCGTTTCTTGCTGGAATCATCAATTGCATCTTCATCGTTGTCGTCTGACATGTCAGCGCTGGAATCATCGTCCTCAATCAAAGAAACAAAATCTTTACCTAGAGCTTTATTAGGCTGGTGGAGCTTGATCTTTTTTCGCATATAATTGGGTCGATTTGATGTTTCTTGCTTAGGAAGATTCAAAGCAAGCTCTTGTACTTCTTTTAAACTAGAATCATTAAGCTGACTCTCTTTTTTGCTTCTGTTTCTGGTGTTGTACCTGACTTTGACAGTTTCAATTGAGTCGTTTATTGCGTTTGCATCCAGCAGCTCATTAGACGAAGGCTCCCTCGATGACTTGCCAGTCTGTTCTGAAGAAGTGTCATTCACAACTTCTACATCAAAAACACTTTTGTCGGCAGGAGAGTTGTCATCTGATTGTTCATTTGAAGCAGAAGATTCGGGCGACTCAACACACTCGATAGAGGTCGTGAGAATACCGCCATTTTTGCCAACATCAAACGATTCAGCAGTGTTTGAGATCACCATTGGCTCGACATCCGATACAGCAGTTTTAAAAGAGTCATCCTGAATTGAAGCGTTGGCAGTAGTCGCGATGGAGACTCTTTCTGCATTTGAAGATTCAGCTGTTGTTCCTTCAATGGGTATGACTTGCGTCTCAACGAGGCGAAGATGCTTCTGAACAAATTCGTGGCTAAAGAAGAAGCACAGATTTTTACCAAACTTTTGCTCCAGCTCTTCATTAGTAGCCATAATTACATTTAAACTTTTTTTCAAATGGGAATTTAGAAATAAAAGTTCCAGACTGCAAACGCGGGAATGTGATTCAGCAGCGAAAATATAAACAACCCTAAACAACCAACTATTTCAGGAACATTTACCACCAGTTTTAAAAATTGCTCTCGGAACACTTTTCTTGTTCTAAAGTGATTTTTTTTCTATCTTATCGAGCTTTTCACATCGAAAAATCAAATCAAGTCAACTTAACTAAGAATATCAAACAGATATTTTAAAATTTTTTATATCATAAACTACTAAAATGAAAAAATACGCGATTTGTAAAAGAAATACTTTCACTAGAGTAGCTTTTGACAAGTGGTTTTTCAACACGATTGATACCGTTCATCTAGCATTGCTTTTCCTTGATTCCATAATTTATTTCTACTTGTGTAAATAGACAATAAAGTAAGATGATACAATTTGTCAAGATACATTTTCTCGTGAAACAAAATATTATATTTGTTACTAAAGTAAATAATATGATTTGTAAGTTGTCTACTAGGTAAATTGCTTAAAATACAGTTGATAAAAACAAAGTTGAGCAGTGAAAAGTGTCATTTGGTGGACGAGTATCGAGCGTAAATTACATTAAGAGTTTTCACTGGAGTCATTGTCAGCTCCAAACGATTGAAGCCACTCAGTTTGACACGAGAGAAAAGTTCAAAAATCGACTTGCTCTTGTTGAACTTTTCACTTTCGGCTATCATCAAGTTGATCAGAAGCTTGCCCGGCTTGAAGCACTTCAACACCTTTCGAACAAAGGCGCCATAATCCTCCATTGGAACGTTAGTTTCAAGCGACACAAAAGAGAAGCCTTTCTCAGGAGTAATGTGAATGGTGAGGTAGTTCGCTCCACTGAATCCATTCATCGAGTAGCCACAGCCATCGAAGATGTAATCATCAATTTGCATTTGAGGAATCAAGCGTGAAATGCCCGAGTTGATTGTCACATCCTTTGCCGTAACACGTGGCTTGCCAGTGAAAATGAACTGCTCCATCACTGCCTCATTCAGGTTCTCCATGATCATTTCAAACTTTAGATGCTCATTCTTACTGCCTCGGCTGCGTTCAATCGTTGCGCTGTTGTAGGCGTAGAGAAAGAATCTGTCAAGGCTCATGTTTCCTGCTGAGAATGCCGTCTTCAGCCCTGCAGAAGGCAGTCTGCTGTTGAGAAAGTCGCACTCTTGATCAAAGCTGAGGTGTGGCACTGATTGAGCCTGAGGAATGAGCAGGTTCTTGTGCGAGTAGTAAACATCGACCACTTGGAGGCCCAACTTGGGGGCCAGCTGAAGCAGCTTTGCCAGAGCGAGCAGAAGGGTTGTGGTGCCACAGGTTTTGATGAGCACACAATTGCGAGTGATGAACATTGAGGACTCGCTGAGGAGGTAGGCGGTCATTTCGCTGTTGGACATGCTGTGAATGATCTTGCAGTTGACCTTCTCCAGCACTTCCTCCCATTCACTTTGCGAAACAGTGCGAAGGTCCGGTGGCACAGAGGACGCAATAGTGTGGGCAATGTTGGTGTTGGTTGGTGCATAGTAGACGACCAGACGCTTTTCTGCACCCTCAAAAAAGTGACCATTTTCAGGGAAAAGCTGCTCAGGAGCAGTAGTAGCAGGTGAAGTGTTGAGAATTACCATCCTTGGCGAGGGACGTTGTAAAAACTAAAAATAAAAGTAGTTTTTGGTGACCAAAGACAACAACAAGGACAAATATGCATACTGACCTTGAGCAGCCTTTGTAGATAACTTGAGAGGTAAAAAGTGTGATTCAGAGAAGTGGGGAGTGGAGACAGTGGAGCCTTCTCAGCTGTACTTGAGTTCGTGCACCGCCGGTGCGTGTGAGCTGGTGATCAACTGGTGCTGCTCGCCCAAAATGGGACCCCGTTCTGATGCCTGAGGTTGGTGGAACCTACGGTACATACAGATGCTGGTGGTGGATGATCAACTGAAGGGGTAAAACCAAAACCAGTAGAAGAGGCACACTGTTCCAGCAATGAAAATGGATAGGCGAGAGGCGCTTGGGTGAGACTGAAAGTTGAATAACTTCTTTACTCCCTATCACCCGGAACATACGATGATGAACTGCACTCGCCGATGAAGTGACTGCCAGTGAAGTGTCATTGCATCGCACCGTATCAGTACTCACTTTCCAGTCGATCACTGTAGCGGCGCCGATGAAATGGAGATGAGTGCAGGCAGACGGAGGAAAAAGATGATGAAGATGATGAAGAAACAACACAATTGACAGACAATTGGCCGTGTCAGCCTGATACAACTGCTGAGGAGAGGGGGGCACTTGCTGGCGATGGTCTCAAGGGAACTGCACTGGCGACAGTGTAACGGCAGTGAACGATAAGTGTCGTCTGTTTGTGGTGCTGGTGGCGGTGGTGGTGGTTGTAGAACGATTACGAAACGTCGTGCAAGCACATGCTAACACACATTTGGCCTGTAGGCAATTAGGCTAGCATCGGCCACTAAGGAGTGAAGTGTGCTGTTCGGCAGAATGAAAGAGGGAAAGAGAGTGCCTTTAGGTGCTTGCTGTTTGACTCACTTTCCAGTTCGGGTGCTTAGTGACAAAAACAAGAAGGGGAACAATCGTTGAATTTGTCCTTTACCAGTGCAACTAGTACAAATTAATCGCCCAACAGTGTGCGCCAGTGACATTTATCCATTTCAGTGGGCTCTTCTTGGAAGAGAGCAATTAAATTACTTTTCCATCAACGTGAATTTTATTTTTAAAATAGCGCTTAAAAAGAATAAACAAGCTGGAAAATTAATGTCAAGATAAGATATCATGATTAAACCTTTATCTAAACAGTGATAACATTTCACTCAACCGTTTAGAATTTCCAGTATCTTATCTTTAACCAATAATTATTTTCACTTTTTCACATTGGCAGTTCAGACGGAGTTTGTTGAAAATTCAAATCAGTTCATTTTGAACGCAGAAAAAGTTGCATAAAACAATGGCGTTTAATTTGTTCAAAGCAATAATCACCAAAGCAGGAATCACCAAACACGCCATTTAAATAATATTTAAACAATAACACATTAAAAGAAGCAGATGGTTCACAATTTAGCATTTGACTAGAGAGCATTTGAGTTTGTTAGTAGATAGAAAGAAAGTAATACTAAGCTCGATTTGTTTTTAAACAGGAAACAAGCAAACTGAACACAAAAGTCAACATGAAGATGCAATCCTATTAAATGATAATATGCTAAGTACCAAAATGAAATTTTAAGTAAAAAAGTCAATTAAAATGAGCAGTTTTTGTAATTCCAAGTTATACAAAGTTCTCTTTGCGAAGTGCCCGAATCTGTTTTTCGAGTGACATGAGTTCATCGCGCATCATCCGGTACTGACGAACATCAAAGTTTTCCGATTTGACGAGTTTCCAGAACTTTTTGATTACCATTCGACGCTCTACCGCTGGCAAAACGTACTCCTCACTTGTGACTATGTAGTAGGCAAAAGTGCTAGGGAAAAAAGCAAACAAGTTAATTGACAGCGTCTATCAAACTTAGCAAAACGTGCACTTACGCGACCATCATTGAGTATGTCAGGCAGAAGGTGACTGGTTCCATGATATCCCAAGAGTACTCAAACCAAGTCAGCCGTCCGACAAAGCCTAATTGAGCACTGAGAAGAAAAAGGCCACCTAATTTGAAGCGCCTGTGAGCATCGACTTTGGCATAGGAAACAAGGCGATTGAATTCAACTTGCATAGGCTCAAACTTGGTACGCAAATTGTACTTTTCCTGCTCCAGAAACTATTTCAAACAAAGATGGAAACAGTTATCTTGCAAATTGAAATATAAATCAAGTATAAACAGTGCCTTACCAGCAGTTCGTGCCTGGCAAACGTCGCCGCCTTGGCCGGCACCATCGACGAGGCTCCGCTGACTCCACTTGAGACAACGCTATTCTTCTGACTCCACTCGACTATCCGCTTTAAGGTCTCAGCATTGAGCTTAAATTGAAAGATCACCGGGCCTTGGCCCTTTTCACTGCTGTAGCCGTTTAGTTGAACTCTGGAGGGGTTCAGTGCCACAAACAGATAACCGAATGGCATTGTCGGTGCTAGGCGAAAGTGTTGTGTCGGGGGCAAACTGCTCGGCGGCAGCTTCACTGCGCTGGCACTAGCAGGATTAGTGTCAGTGGAGGCAGAGGCAGAGGAAGAGGCGCTGTCACTACTCGAAGAGCTGGGCTCCTTGAATTCCTCCTGATTGTAGATGCGAAACTTTTGAACCTGTTTCAAGTCAGTGCCCACGCGTTCCCACTTGGCGTTGGGAAGAATTTCCAGTCTCAGCGTTTCAAAGAGAGCCTCAATTGGCTGCCAGTAGTGAAGGATGGCCTCGTAACGATCAAAGAAGTACAGCTTAAAGTGGCCGTGGTCAAATGTGACCGGAATTTGGACGGCTTCACTTGATGATGAATGGGCCTCATTTTGGGTTGCAGTTTGGCGCTGTTCACCGTTTCCGCTAGTTGAATGGAAGTGCGTCACCGATGGCAGTGTGATGATAGCAAAATGATGAGCATTTGGTGGTGTCAATTGGAGAAGAGATGAAGATCGAGTCGATAAGCAGTGAGCTAAGCGATGCATGGCGCCTCTAGTAGGCACAGCCGCTGCTGCTTTCTGGTTTCCGCAACTGTAGTTTGGCAACAATGATGTCTAGAAAAGAAAAGAAAAATGTTATTTTATGAAAATGGTTTGTGTATAAAAAATGAAACAACAAAAAACAGTGTAGTGCAAGTCATTAGTGATGAAATGACACAATCTCGGTACTGACTACCTAATTTAAAATTATGTGTAACAATTAAATTTATTTAAATTAGGCAAATTTAAATATGGCTGGTTGCCATAGAAAAAAATCAAAATCTTTTTAATAAAAACTGAATTTTTTAAAATTAGACATAAAGAATCAACCCAGTTCATGTTATCAGCATATCTAGCAGATCATTTTGTCAACACTTTTCTAGCTTAGCTATACAAAAGACTATTTTTGAAAAGCAATAGCTGTGTATCGTAAATGTTAATGCAGACTGTGGCAACAACGTCAACAAAACCCCGCCAAATTACCTTTTGGAAAGGCAGCACAAATCGTTGTTCACTTGAGTTTACATCAGCTAATGGCAAAGGCGTCGGATGAGTAAAAAATTTATTGCTGCTATCACAAAAGCCAATTGAAAGGGGGAGCTTTTCAGTTTGAATTGCTGAACTGTCAATTGAGACACAGCCAGTCAGTGCACAGTGCCTTAAGACTCGGTTTGGCGGAGCTGAACTTGAGCGTGTCCGATTGCCAGTGGTGCCCAACTGGAACACATGTTCGGACTGATCAGCAGGAGTCTTCCCAACTGTTGGCAGGGCTTGCTAGTCAGTGAAGATGACATGATGATGAAGGCTTTGATGTGCTGGTGAATCGATGCAGAAGTTTAGCCAACTGGAAAGTTGAAAGATAAGATTCGATTAAAAGTTTCAAAACAAAATAAAATACATTTAAGGCCAGACACGGGGACAGGCGGCGCTCTAGTCAGCTCTATGTATT